GGTTTATGTCAAGGACAGGAGGCTGCAGAGGAAATCTGCAGGCCATCAAACCTGAATAAGAGAAAAGGCTTCCTATTCCAGTTCCTCCTGCGGGACCTCTTCAGGTCACTTTTATATTTACTCCAGAAGGACAAAGGATGCATCGGTACTTAGAGAATAAATATCGTAACGTGGACTTCCATCAGGCAACGCAAGTAACAGAAAGCTGATGGCCACAGCTATTCTTCACCAGTGTGATGACTGCCAATCCCCCTCCGCCCTTTTGATTCCCTTATTTTTTTTTCCAACCCTGTTCACTATCAATGCCATCAGGCGGGGCTCCCAATGTGGATCACTCTCAGAAGACTTGGCAGCCCTTGTGCCCCTAGATGCTTCCATTTCCTCTTTATGTGCACTTCTACATTTTCAACGAAGAAAGGGAGCCAGGAAGCAATGTGAGAACTAAACATAAGACTTGGTTACAACAAAAATGAGAGCATTCAAAGGCCTGATTGCCTGCTCCTTTGGCAATAGAGCTGCTCTGGAAAGGTCCTTGAGCCCTACTTCAGTGAAAATTAAAATAAATCACAGGCATTCTTCAAAGAAAAGGGATAAAATTATACATTTACCTACAGGGTATTGATACAGGCACAGATTTAGATAGATGTGTTATATAGTTCATGCACCCATACTAAACACGCATATGAATAATCCCTATACAGATGGCCAAACACTAACAGAGGAGCTTTATTCAGGACTCTGCAATTATGATAACTAGATATTCAACCAAAAGCCAAAAGGATGGTGTTAAGGCACAGAAATGAGCATGGAGAAATGGAATAGGATAAATTCTACCTCTTGACATCTTTATTGAAACAGGGCTGGTAGTCTATTGGACACTCGCAACAAGAGGCTTAAAACATATCAAACGATAATGAAACATAATTTCTAGGTTAACACCAAGATGAGAGCCACCATCTGGCACTTGTGCCAGCCTCAAAGCTGGACAAAGACACATATTACGAGGCCACACATTTGGAGGGAGAGAGGCAAAATGGAAAGTCAAAATGAATCCTCCAAACTTCAACAACAATAACAGTTTAAAACAGTGTGTGAAAACCCACATATCCTAAGACAAAACCTGGACAAAATGACTTCCTGTCTATGACCATTACTTATCTGGAATAATTTCTTTTAAGTTTAGAAGCTTAGAAAAGCTCCAATATCTCTCTTTAACCATTCATATACAAGCTGCCCTCCGAATATTAACCGTTTTCCAATTAACAACCTAAAGTGGATGGAGTTGAAAACTCTCTGTGATCATTCATTCCATCAATTAATATTTATCAACTGCCAACTTTGGCCTTGGCACTGGGTAAGTAATGATGAACAAGACCAATATGAACTCTGGAGCTCACAGTCTGGCCTCTATGTTCTAGATTGCACCGTCAGGATTTGGTTATAGTGAACTGACAGAACAGATGAAAAAAAAATCCTATGAAGCTTACAGTCACATAGACCCATCTCCAAAGAACACGGCACAGCTCACTGCTGTATTCTAAGATCTCGGTTTAACTCCCTGATTTGGAATTTAGGGATCACCTTCCCATGGAAAGCAATGCCATCAATGATGTTTGGATTCTAGGGTTGATCCATAAATCTTGAGTTGCCCTGCATGCAGCTGCAGTGTGATTTTAAGAGATTTCTGGTTTGTGTTACCCTGGGAATCAGTTGAATCAATAGTATTAAACTGTAATCTATAATCCCAACGCTGCTACCATGGATTGAAACAGTGGAGGCTGAAGTGTGCAATGCTGGGGATGCAAAAAGCTGGAAACACCTATGAGTGGGCTGGCTGCCGTCCTTCAGTCTCAATCTGTCCCCAGGACAAGGGAATATGCATGGTGGTAGAATCTCCCCAAAGGTGCTTAGGAGGGCAAGAATTACATTTGGAATAGCTCATTTGCACGTCAGCCATTGGCCTCTTACACAGAACCAAGGCACTGGTTCTGGCCAAGGCTATGCACATTTCATACCGTTGTTACTAGGAAATCACAAGTGACATGTTTTCTGGTTATTTCAGGAAGTATAATAGTGTTTTTACACATTCCCCCCTTTTTAAGATGTATGTCTTTTTCAATAGCTCTAATAGCATTTAAAGTATATTAAGTTACATTAATTTGCTGATTGAAGTATAGTTGATGTTTCAAGTATACAGCAAAGTGATTCAGTTTTACATCTATATATGTATATGTGTGTGTGTGTGTGTGTACATATATACACACACCAGAATATATATATATAAACATATACATATATATATATATATATATATATATATATATATATCTTTTTCAGATTCTTTTCCATTATAGGTTATTACAAGATACTGAATATAGTTCTCTATGCTATACAAGAGGTCCTTTTAACTTACATTAATTGTTAAACACCACTTTTTAGGCAGTTTCATTGCATGAGTCTCGTCTTCTCTTCTAGATCCCCCAAATTACAGCTCAGCATTTGACCAATAAAACAAGAACCTCAACTCAGGCCCATTTTGCCCAAACCATGGCACAGTTAGACGTGTAGCTAAAAATAGAGAAAAAAGCTATTCTAAACAAGAACCTGAGTCTCTGAGACAAAATTTTAAAAACCATTTTATTTATGTCTAAAAATAAGGGAGTAAAACATATGCTCTAGTAGTTACTGCCTGAAGAAAGTCATTTACTGGATCTGTGACAAGGTTAAGTAAAGTCTTTCTTACCAATCATTAACGATACCCTTAGGTTATACCCGCAAAATGTAGGTGCTTCAGCAGTGGTCACCCCGAATTATCTAAATAAAACACTTTGCCAGCCTTAGTGACAGAGTCACTATATGAAATACAATCTTCTCTGAAACAAAACGTCTGCCTTTTGTTCTCTTCCATCACTGCACTACAGAGAGTGAGTTCACATTTACACATCATTCTTCTGTTGTTTTCTTAACACAAAGTGGGGGTGGGGAGTGACTCCCAAATATTGCTCCTAGGGTTCCCAAAGCCTTTCTGAGCTCCCAGTAGGACCTGAACATACCTTTTCTCTGAAGAGCCCACAAGATGAAAGTTTCCAAGTCAACCCTCAAGACAGGAAAGTGACAGAACTAGAATCTGGCTCTGTCCAGTAAACACTCAGCTTGGGGACATCCACCCCAAGTGCCTCTAAGGAAAGAAAGCATCTGACCAGGATGAAGAGAACAAAATCCCATGGGAGGTGGCTAACATATAGAGAGGAGAAGCCTAGGCCAGACCTGGGCGCCAGCCGAACACGGGGACCCAGAAAGGTCTTTGAAGCCATGGGTGGGTTTGGTTTGAAATGCCTCTCCCACATCTTGTCATGCTTGGAAAGAGACCTGGGAACCCATGTTTACCCCACAGAAAGGTGATTCTCTGAGAATGCTTGGGAAAAAGCAGCATCCCTTGGAAACCATCAGAAATGCCCATTTCCAAGCCCACCGCAGACCTATTAAATCAGAAACTCTCAGGGTAGCCCAGAAATCTGTGTTTTCACAAGCTCTCCAGGAGTTTCTGAGGCAAAGTCAAGTTTGCAAACCACCACCATAGGATTAATTAAAATCACTGTAGTACAGTCCCTCTCCCAAGCCTTATTCATAATTGGAGAATGAGAGGTCTTTCCTCCTTCAAAAGAAATGTCAAGGATCAACAGGCCAAATAGGAAGTCGTGAGAAGGTTTAGGTGTTTTTTTAAGGCTGAATTTACCACGGCTCCTCCTCATTCATTTCAGGTTTGGGAATCTTGGTCATGGGCACCAACAAAGGCAGAGGAAAAAGCATCAGAAATGGATCTGATTCACCCCAGGGCCCAGCGAACATTGGACAACTTATTGCTACTTAAAGATCACTTTCAAGTAAGCAAGTGACATTAATGGTAATTGTAATGAACCGTACAGATCAAGAAAGCCCACCTGACTGTCTCCCCAACACAATTAAGAAAGACACCACTAAACCTTCCTCACAGATTTCCCAAGCGAGTGGCTATTTATAAGAGACCATGCAGAATTCAACAATAACATATGAGTCAATACATACGCTTAAATTTCAGAGCAAGTGCTTTTTAATCACTGAAACTCTTGGCTACTTATATCACAAGAACATTTAAATATGTTTCTCCCATCCCCCAAAATGAATTTTCAATCCTCTAAAAGAGACCAATGGTCTACTGAGAGGCAACAGAGACCATAATTTTTAATCGAGCACTAGGAGCTTTTCCACTAAAATAAAAAGCCACTCATTCACAAAGCATCAATCTACCTCCAACGGCTGTTCTTATTTTGCTTCCCAACACTTTAAAGTTCAAAAGATGAGAATCTGAAAAAGCAGCAGCAACACAAAAAGCACACCATGGAAATTCTAGAAGTCAAATGTACAACAGAAAGGACCTTTCTACACAAAATACAAGTGTCCATAACTAGCCTACTGGCACCCAGCCTGGCCTGCCTTTCTGAAACAAAAGTAAAACTCGGGTACTATTTTTTAATATAATTATTAGGCACTTGAAACTCAAGAAACCAGTTCTGTATCTTCTGGGATAACTGTCCTCCTTGGAAAATGAGTAGTGCTGAATAATCAACATGATTTTGCTCTGTCTTGATTTGTAGTATCATAGCCTTGTTGCTATTTTTTCAGCCTTCACCCCTAGTCATCGTAAATCTAGCTGCTTCCTTCTTTAGTGGTAATTAGCATTAGTCACAAGCCAAAAATGATTCCACATAAGAAGTAAAATAAACACAACCCTTCTTACCTTTCATGCCAAACTTGGAGTGTCTTGCCAACTTCAGCCGGAACAGCATTACCAGCAGACAAAATCCTACTACAGATGCAATTACCACCACAGCATAGACCTACAGAAAGGAAGGGAGGGCAGTTATGATCTTGATAATTAGTTTCTTATATCCAGGTGATGCTGATTTTGATGGAGATGGTTAATATTTATTGAATACTTACTACCTGCTTTTCTAAGAGCTTTATGGATATCAATTAATCTTTAACAACCCCAGGAAGATTTATGCAGGTCCTATTATTATCCCTATCTCTACAAATGAGAAAAGATAAGTTAAAGCTTATAAAAATGGGGATCCAATTGATATTATACAGATTAACATATACTAATACATCCTATATTATTACATAATGTATAGATAATAGATATTTTATCTCTCCCCATCCATCTATCTACCTATGTACCTATCTACCTACTTATCTGGAGAGAGAAGTGAGAGAGAGAGTATATAAAACATGAATGACAAAACTAATAATTTTTGAAGCTGCTGAAAGATACAATGGGGTTCATCTCACGATTTTCTCTACCACTGTACATGTTTGAAAACTGTCCATGATAAAAAAATTATTTTTAAGTTGACTACTGTTGCTCTTAGAAGTCAGGGTGCCCTAGAGCAGTGAGTAGGTCTGCAAGCGAGCAGGAAGACACTTGTGGGTGAGCACAGCCTGTGAAAGCTCATGAGGTTGTAGACTTCTGACATGTGAACTTTTCTGTATGTATAAGAAAGATCAATACAAAGTTGTTTTTTTAACTTAAAGGTGTAGCTGCAAGTTGTGAATCATACAAGTAGAGAGAGGAGATGCAGATCTTTGTGAATCCTGTCACAGCCCCAAGCTGGGGATCACAGAGGCACAAGTGCATAGTGCTAAGTACACACTAACAATTTAGAAACAAAGATCGCCACAGGACTATGCATCATCTTCCATTTTTGCTGTTTACCCCAAAGTCCCACTTCCAAAATAAATTTGTTTCTATAAACCAGGAGTTCGCAAACTTTTCCTGTAAAGGGTCATATAGTAAATATTTTAGGCTCCGGGGGCCTACAGTCTGTGTTGCAACTAGACAACTCCCCTGCTGTAGTGTGATAACAGCCACAGACAATATGCAAACCAATGGGCGTGTCTGTGTTCCAATAAAACTTTATTTACCACAACAGATGGATAGCTGGATTTGGATATAGTTTGCCTAAACTGTCCTAGATGCCCATACTGACTTAAATGTCTAAGTTTCATTTAATCCACATAACAGTCCATACGACATATTACTATTGTCCCCATCTGTGGTAATCATTAGTGTTGTTTCCCAGACATTTCTGTTTTCCCCTATGTTTCTCTTTGTAGGATTCACTTCCTGGCTTCCTTGTGGTGAGATGGGTTCACGTGACTAGTTCTGGCCAATGAGTTGAGACTTGTATCACTGCCAGGAGGAGGATTTCACTGCTTACTGCAAGATCTTAGACTAAAGCAGTGGCTCTCAACCAAGGATAATGTTGCACCCAGGGGACATTTGGCAATCTAGAGTGGTCACAACTGGGAGAAAGGTGCTACTAGCATCTAGTGGGTCAAGGCCAGGGAAGCTGCTAAAGATCCTTCAGTGCCCAGGAGAGCCCCCCACAAAAAAAATTATTCATCAATAATAGTAGCGTTAATAGTGCCAAGGGAAGTGCTCTCTTTCTCTGTGCCATAATAAATGCTAACTTTTCAAAAGGTAGCTGCCTTGTCAGCCTCATCTTGGAATGAGGATGATGCTGATAGAGCTCCCAGCCAATACGTGTAATGAAGCAATAAATAAACGTTTGTTGTTTTAAGCCACTGAAATTTGGGGGTTTTTGTTACTGCAGCATAGCTTATCCTGACTGATATACCCAGCTCATAGTGAGAGGCAGTGTCAAGTGGAGATTAAGGATATGGATTGTTTCTGAGTTTGAAATTTAGATTTACCACTTACTAACTACATGGTTTCCAAATTACTTAACCTCTCAGCATCTCATAAACCTCATGTATAAAACAGAAAATATAATAACACTACCTTGCAGGTTGTTATAAATCCTCAATTAGTCAATGCAGATAATGGGCTTGACACAGTGCTTACTATAATAAGTAATTAATTATGTTGGCTATGATGATGATGATAAAACTGAGATTTACAAAATAAATAAATAAATAAGCAGCCCAGGATCATACCTCTCAAACTTGGGATTGGAATCAAAGTCTGCCCAAGTATAAAACCTGTGATTTATGTGTGATTTACCCACTACATTGCCTCTCCAAAGCACGTGGCTGAGAGCAAAGGCAGGATAATAAAAACATATGGCTAATCCCTCCACAGCACCTTCAGATGGGGTCAGATGGGGACAGCATTAAATAAGCTACAAAGCACAGAAAAGACCACATGCCAAACAGTTGGCTAGGATGGAGCAAAGGTGTAATCATTCTCTCTTCTGGTGCTTCAAGCTGTGAGTGGCTGTCCCACAGAATGCTTCTACAGATGTCTGAGTACAAACTTAACTCTGTCTCTGTGGCCTCTATATAAATAGAATGGTAGTGATTCCTAAAAGGCTAGTTATAAATCAACTTGTTCTAACCAAGATCATTTCCCTCAAACTTACCTAATGATTTCGGATGTTTCTTTCTCAATCTTTATTTCTAACTAACATTTGCATGGGAAAGAGATCATAATATTTTAGCTATAAGAGTCTCTACCCTATTATTAAATTCCAAAATTCTACAGATGAAAGAAGAATTCATTAATAAACAAGTTCAAACACTATTTTATAGATAAGGAACCTGGGACAGAGAGACATTTGGAGGACTTGCCCTGAGTCCCAGGATCACTCTGCAGAACGACAGTCTTACCCACTTTGGAAAGTACTCAACTGGCATTCAAGAGACCTATGTCCTAATGAACCCAGAATACCTTGCCTTTACCAGCTGTGAGACCTCACAGGTGCTTCACTTCTCCCAGCCTCTGTTTCCTCACTTGTACGTGGGGATAACAATACCTGCCCTGCATTATCTACTTCATTAAAGAATACTTAAGTCATCTTAGAAAATGGAAAGGTGTTCTTCTCCAGAAAAGCAGCTAATAATCTGCTAACAAATATTTAAACCTATTGAAGCAGTTCTAAATGTAAAGAATCCTTTAATAAACAAAAACTCCTGTGACAATGAGAAGAATCATTTCCTCAAAAACAAGTTATTTCATAAATACAGAATTTCATGTACTCTGTGCATGTGTGTTGGGGTGGGGGTGGTCTTCACATGGGAGAAAAGCAGGAGTGAGTTTGTTTGTTTGGTTGGTTGGTTAGTTGGTTTTTATCTGAGGCTACCTCTCAGCATAGAACAAAGAGCTGCTCTCCTCTGAAAATCCAGCGGGGTTCATGAGGAGCATCTGCTAGACCAGAAAGGTGAATGCTTAAGGCTGTCTTGCAAATGCTCTGAAAACACCTTTGAATTTTGTATCAGCTCCCTGACTCTGAAACTCTTTTTCTAATCTAATGATCTTCCCTGTGATCAGGGACTGTTATGTATCAAATATTTGATCCACACATAATTTTAAAATTTTCTTTAAATTCTACAAAACATTGCCTTGTATCTCTCATGCAGATTTCTAAGAGCCACAGGTGGAGTCAAAACATACAGACTTTCAATGAAGATTATTTTCACTCATCTTGCCTTCCAATGACACTACTATAGATAGTTCAAACATCAAGATACACCAATTGGGGGCTTAAATGTATCATGTGGGTTCGAAAGAGAAAACTGAAGTTGGTATATAATTTTTAGTAATTGGAATACATACACATCTGTGGGCTTAACACATGTTCCTTGGATTCCTTACATATGCAAACAATGTTCTCAAACCAAGAAACATTAAGTGGTTTTGTATGAGAGTAAAAACTGAAATGAATGCATAAGGCAGGAATTAGAAAACATTCTGCAGTTGATTTAACACAGCAGTTTTCCTTGTTATTTCAATGCAATGCACATAGTCATCCGTGGAAATGTGTGTGTGTGTGTGTGTGTGGTGTGTGTCTCCAAATACTGGATGTGCATATTTTGAGTTGTAGTTAAGTTGTATCTATTTATGAGCCTCCTGGTCCCACTGCATGGCCCTGGTTTAAATAGCCATCACATCTCTTTATCATTGCACCAGACACCTAAATCATCATCACCCCACTTCTAATCCCTCTCTTCTGCAACCCATTCTATAGTGTTCATCATTAGTCTAATCATCTCCTAGGTGCCAGGCACTATTCTAAGGACTAGGGATACAGCCATGAAAAACACTGAGTTGCCTATACTAAGAATCTTACTAAAGAATCAGGGAAGGAAAAAAGATACTGAACATGTAAACAAATAAATAATCAAGGTAATTACACACAATAATAACTGCTCAGAAGAAAATGAAACAGGGTAATGGCTGCTGCTGGCCACTCTAGCTAAAGCTATGTGATGACCATTGGGAAGTGCATACCTTCTAGAGGGAACGGCAAATGAAGCCTGTGAGACAAGAGTAAGCCTGGAGCATGCAAGAGAGTATTTTAAAAAGATAGTTGGTAAACAGTGAAGAGAGTATGGAGATGAAGTCAGAGGGACAGACAAGGTCAAGAAATGTAGGGCCCTGTTAACCACCATGAGGAGTTGGTTTCTGTAACAAAAGTTTTATTACAATGCATTGGGAAGACTCTGAGAATGATAATAAAAGAGTGATCACTCGACGGAGAAGGCTCAAGGGTGGGGTAAGAAGATCCTAAACTCATCTCCTACCATGGACACAGCAAATCTTTCAACTAAAGATGAAATAATTCCCTCAGAAAGGGACCTGAAAACTAGAAGAACAAAGCCTCCACTTGTGCCATCACAAGTATAAAATGTGGGAATGGGGAGTAAAAAAGATAAAGCTTTAGAATGTGTTCAAATTTAAGTTGCTACCAACTTAAAATGGGCTACTACTTACATAGGATGTTATATGTGAACCTCATAGTTACCACAAGGGAAAAACTTATAGTAAATCCAGGAAAAAAATGATAAGGGAATCTAAACATAACACTAAAGAAAA